AATAAAATATTATTTTTATAGGTATGATCCAACAGCTGTTTTAGATTTTTTGTGGGCATTAACTTGTAATCCAAAACTTTGGCAAGGCAGAGACAAATTCACGCCAAAACATTATGTTCCAGAAAATATTTTATTATTACATGATGAACAATTATTAACACTTGTAGCATATATAGTTGCAGAAGCTGTTATCATATATAATTGTCAAAACAGAAATACCGCACTTGCACGAATGGATTCTCGCCTTGATTTGTTATTACATTGTATTTCTACAGACGATCATTTAGTAGCTAGTGTTGTAAAATATTTGGCTGAACGTATGATGAATGATGCAAAGTATGTTTATTTCAATATAAGAATTTTCTATATATTTTTTTTTTATAAAATTGTATTGAATATTTTTTTTAAATATTCTGGTTTTTTATTTTTAGCATTGATTCTGATATGGTTCATCAATTCTTGTTACATATGTATATGAAAATACCAAAAGTAATATGTTACTTAGATACATTTCAAAGTAAAAAATTTGTTGGAGAAGCGAAAATCACAGAATGGACAGGTTCTGTGTTAGATTGCATGAGTCATTCTTTGTTAACTGCTTTAGCAGCAACACCAAGACAAAAGTCATGGAATTCTCGATCTCAAGACTTTGAATTATGTGCTCGAAAAATGGCTGCTGTACATCCTATTTTAGTATTACGACAACTTCCAATGTTAGCATCATCACTAATGGGAAGATGTTATTTGGATTTTAGTCAGTTTAGAACAGGTCATCATTTAAATCTTTTTGTACAAATAATGGGATTACTAGAATTATTACAACCACATTTATTTAGTGATGAACATCAAATTGCTTTGGAAGATACCTTAGAAAATTATTTTCAATGTTTTCAAGTATGTAAAGAAATATTTATATATTATTAATATATATCAAATTAAAAATTATTGATCTATTTTATTTTCAGAATTATGGTCCAGTAAAAGATCTCATATCACTCTTAAATAGATTTATTACATTATTGCAAGCATATATTTCTTATGATCCACAAAGAGCATTAAAATATTTACAAAAACATGCTCAGATTCTTCAGTAAGTAATACCTTTGATCTTTTCTAATGTATTACAGATATTAACTTACACTTACATATAGTGAATTGCAGGTACATTATCCAAATTTAGTTACACTTAGAACACTTGTATCGGGCATTCCAGTGCCAAGAGAAGGAGAAGATATAGAAGAAGTTTTAATTACTGTACCTCCTACTTCACTTCCAATAGAACCCATTATTCCACAGCATTGGTCATCACTATTAACAACATTATCTAAACTGCAAGGTGAAGGTATGATTCAGAAATTTGCTTTAATTTCTATGAATTTTTATTATAATACCAGAATATATAAATTTTAATATGTTTTAGATGTGTTTAGTGCTCTTCAAGAAATTGAACATTTATCATCTCGAAAACCTTCAGTTTTAGAAACTATAACGGATAATATAGCAGAATTACTTGTATCTCCACAAAGTAACATAAGATCTCTTGCTCATACATTATTAGCAAGAGCGTTAAAACATCGACCTGCATCAAATGCAAATATCTTATCTGCATTTCAGAGGTGTTTGGATAGTTCCAGAGCTGATATTTTAATGTCAGCTCTAGAAAAGTTACCAGAAATTGTATTATGTATGCAAGGTATAATTCTTTTTTATTTTATTCTAATATAATATATATATATATATATATATATATATTGTACATATAATATAAATTTTATTTAATAAATTTAATTTCATATTATATATAAATTATATTTTATTTCAGAACATGCTTTACCATTGATGCAGAAAGTATTTGAATTAGGAGTAAATTCAAATGTGAATACTATACCATATATAAATAAAACTATTGCTCTGTTAAATACACAGCAGGGTTGTTAATATCATAAAAATTGTAATTTTATATTTTGTATACAATGAAATCAAAAATTTTTTATAAAGAGACAATGAACAATCATTGCACTTATTGTATTTTCTTTAGGTAATAATACATTTTTTATAAGATAAAATTAATTTGATATTATACACAAATATACATTTATAGTACAAGTACATTATAAATAATAACATGTACATAAATATTATACAACAGATTATAAAAGATGTATATATTATAAAAAGGCTTCAGGTGGTACATTGTTAACTGTGTACATATTCATAAATGTAGCAATAGCAGTCCTAATATCCCAGTTGGCATCTTCAAGATACTGATGACAAAATTTTATGTTCATTGTAGTCAATTCATGTAAAAATGTAAGCAGTTGTTCTTTTTCAGAAACACTAAACACTGTTGGAATAAACTTTGGAACGCTTTTTAATTCAAATCTTATTTCATTGTTTCCTGATAGATTAGCTGGTGTTCCATCAAGATAACACTGATCATTAGTAATGCAATATTCATTATCTTCTTTCTTCATAATTATAAAAGTTCTATTGAAAAACATTGGTGGACATTGATTGACATCTCGAAATGAAAACATTCCTTGTACAGAAATTGCAAGATGGATTTCTCCTTCATACAATAAATCCACATGAAATGATTTGAAGTGATGTATTGTAGGTGGTTGATTTTTAAGTGCAGAAATAATTTTTTCTGGACCACGTAATAAAAATTCTTGACACTTAGCATAATCAACAAATTTTAGTAAATTTCTATTTGTTACAAATGTTTTAGTCAACTGTTTATGAACATAATTTGAAACAGGTCCTAAAGTCATAGAATAGAGAGCATCTCTGTCATATAAACCATTTATCACTTGCCTATCATCTTGATCGTATAATGTAAAATAATGCTTCACAAATTGCTTGATTAAACAAGTGTTTGTACCATCTTTTAAATAATTACTTTGAATATTGGGAACAAATTTTTGTTCCATACCTATTACAATCCCATCCAATTTTTGTAAATGAGGAAAAATATTTTTTACTGCTTGGATATAATCATGACACTTATTATATTTTATACATAATGGATTTCCATCCAACCAAAGTTCACTTATTTTAAACTCACTAAAATAACGTAAGTACTCTACATCTGCAATTTGATTGTGACGTAAATCTAATTTGGTTAAATGATAATTAAAAAATTTTTCAAAAAAGATAATGCTTGTGATTTGATTATATCTTAAACTCAATTCTCTAACAGGTAACCGTGAATCACGATTATTACTTAAAATTCCCATTTTAGTACATCTTAAAACAAAATGCAATACTTTGGGCAAAGATATGGGACAATATATAGAGCTTAATGATTTTTCATTTTCAAAATCATCAAGATTCAATATTTTTTTTGTAGGTTCATATCTATAATAAAGAGCTTGTGCTATAATTCTATTAGGATTTAATTGTAAATTTTGAGAATCTGTATATCCTAATATAATATCAATGTGTAATTCTTGTCCATTTGACAATGTTAGACATAAACCTTGTTTTATAAGATTTTCAATAGCATTACAACTACATTTTGTCAAGAAAGTGCTTTTGTTGGGATTTTCTTCTTTATACATAACAGGTAATATAATTTCTGGTTCACAAGCAATAATAATAGTTCGTAACACTTCTGCTGCTTTGAATTGTCCTATGCCAAATAAAATGAACTTATGCCATAAATCTTGACGTGATGCCAAAGCGGATTCTTGAGCATTAAATGATGGTTTAACATGTGTTAGACGTAATGGTTCCCAACTTATAATATTTTCAGTTACTTCTACATTTGCCATTATTCTGATAATATATGTAAATAAAATTGATTTATAATAGAAATTTATAATTTCATAAAAAATATAATTAAAATTAATAAAATATGAAATCACTCCATAATACAATCACTTAAATTTATAAGATTTATTTATAAAAAATTTTTAGAATATTAAGAATTAATTATAATAAAAAAATTATGTATTTATAATAAATAAATAAATACTATTCAATATATATATACTATTCAATATATATGTATATATATATACTATTCATACATATTTGTTTAAATATATAAAAAATTGATTAGATAAATTATTTTAAGTAAGAAAAATTATTTAATGGAAAAACATTACTGATTCCAATGATATATCAATACTAATGAGATTAAATTTATTTTACAGTTACAAATTTTTTACTTGTAACGATTTTTTATATAATAATTTATCAAAATCATATATTTTTAAAGAATATATTTAATATGAAAAAACATATAAATATTTATTAAACTTTTTAATTTTTGGAATTTTAGAAAATATTTTTTATTATTTAAAAAAATCAACTTTAAATTTCATTTGTATGAAACGTTGTATTTTTTTATATTAATTTATTTTTATTAATATATAATTTACAGTTTATTATTAAAATTAACTAAATTAAATATAAAAGAATTCTTAATTTTTAATTTTAATTTTAATTTTAATATAAGTAGATAAAATACACAGATAAAATACAGAATAGATCTACCTATGTTTTATGAAATTTTATGATTCGTATGCTCTGAATTATCGATTGTGCAAGAAATCATTTAAATCATAGACTATAAAAGAAATACAGAATAAATCTAATATTTAATGAAACTTTGTGTTTCATGTTTTGAAATATTGATTAAGAAATCATTGATATACCGACAGATAAGGTATATAATAGATATGATATGTCATTTAAATTATCATTTTATTTTGAATCGATAATATTATATATGAAAATAGCAATAAAAGTTATGTAGTCCAATTATACAATGATACGAAAATGTATTGGATGATAAGGTCTATTTTATATTTAGTTGATGATATATTAATTTATGAGAGAATAGTTAATTTAAGTTCAGATGGCAGCACATGTACAACTCACAAATGGGTTGGGCATTAAGAATCATTTTTTCATATATATATATTGTGAATATTAATTGTACATAAAATAAGTTTTTTCTTTTTTGAAATTGTTAAATATAATTTAATGACAGAATGACAAAGCAATTATATTTATTTTTATTTACTTTATATTTTATGTGGCAAGGTAAAATTGTATAATTTATAAAATTACATGTGTTTTATTTATGTATATAATAATTTTTATTTTAAAAAATAAAAATATTATTTAAAATCTTTTTAAAAAATATAAAATTTTTGAAAAAATATAAAATTAATGAAAACATATTTATTTAATATTTTTGTAAAATTATCTTATAAATATTATTTATTAATATTATAATTTTTTAAAAATTTTATAATATACAAATCAATATATGAACATAATTTTATATTCTTTTTATATGTATCTCTCTTTAGTTATATATTCCATCCAAGAATCAAGTCCTTGTCAAATTCCATTAATTATTAGAGGATCTTGGTTTTCATGGGAAAATGGAAGAAACACATTAACAGAAATAAATGCAGAAACAATGACTAATCGTGGCAAATGTGTTAATATGTTGGAAGAATATCATGTTAATTATACATTTATATTTCAAAATGAAGCATGTTATCATTGTGTTAAATTAATTGTAAGAACAGTAAATGTATTGGAAAAACTTGAAGGTAAAATAATTATAATAAATTTAAAAAAACAAAAATATATATAATATATAAAAACTAATATTATTACTCTTATTTATATTTAGCATATTGTGTGAATTTGCCCAATGATATTGAACCAACAGTGGAAAATGTATGTAGAGGATTACGTCCTGATCAACAATTAATAACATTATTTTCAGAAAATTATGTTCCTGTAAATTGTAGATCATCTCTTGAAGGTGTTTGGCAATTTGCATATCAGGTATATATTTAATAACTGAAATAACAAATATATACTATACTATATATGAAGGAATTTATTTATTTTTTTTTTATTGTCATAGAATCGATTCAGATTTACAGGAGAATGTAATCATCCAGATGCACAAATTAAATCATGTCAAACTGCAGGAACACAATTCCTAATAACTAATCAGAAATTTAATATAACATATAAACAATGTCTTGGCATGAAAAATACTTTTGATGGAGGTAATATTATTTTTTCATTATTTCATTTGATTAATTATTATTTTTATAAAATTATATTACTATTGTAATTACTATTCTATTTTATTTTGTTTTTTTTATTCTATTATAGTTGTAGAATATAGTTGTTTAGGGGATTGGTTTGTTGATAAAAATCATTTTTTTGCCGTTGCAAATACAAAAGAATCTAGAAAAGATGAAAAATATCGATGTTTTCTAAAAAATCGTGATGACGACTTGTTTATTGGAGTATCTATTACTGCAGAATGTAATACATTAAAAACAGTTGAAAAAAGTCCAGAACGTTTAAGAGTAACACCTGTTAAAGCAGAAGTGGTAGAGCCTGGATGTAGATTACCAGAAGATATGAGTGGACAATGGATAAATACTGCTAATATTGATGCAGATATATTTATTAATGAAACACATATAATTGAAACTTGGTATCCTGATGAAGGTCGTTACAGACGCACAATTTATGTTTGTCGCGAATCAAGAGATACCAGAGTGATGATGGCTAGATTAACCGTTGATGGATGGTATTGATATTATAATATAGTTAATATATAATATAATTTATCATTGATTAATTAATTCTTATTTTTAGTCAAAAAGATTACGTTTGCTTTGATTTTGTACCCCGGCATCATAATATTATTAGATATCGACGTGGCATAGCAGTTATCAAAGATGATTTTCATACAGTTTGTTCTTGGGTTCAATTTCCAAACAAAGAAGCTTGGAAGTATGATTTATTTTTAGGTCAGCATTAAATTATTTTATTGCTAAAATTATGCTTACTAAAATTTTCTATCTATATTTATAATGCCTTTATATATACATATAGCTAAAAATCCCGTACCTGTACGTTGTCCGGTAGCTGGCAAATATATGTTTACTCAAAAAGGAGATGTTTTATTTGAGACCAGAATTTTAGGGGGCGTTACATTATCTCCACGTCCAAACATATATTGCAAACAAAATATTTCAGATTTTTCTGTATGTGATACCGACCAAAAGGAAATTGCTATTGATGAAACCTATTGTTTATCAGTAGATCATTTAGGAAGACCTGTGGATATTTATAGTGAGTTTAATTATTATAGAAAAATGAAATAAAACGACATTTTATGTTAATTTTCTATGTTAAATTCCTTTTTTTAGGTTTACCGGATTATAAAATGAAATGTATTGGATTTTGGAAAGAAAATTTAAAATCATACTTAATAACCTATGATGAATTAGATCCTTTTAGTAAATATCGTTGTTGGGTGTATCAAAGAGCTGATTTAAATAAAGTTCTTATGTCTCAAGCTATTGGACCGTTTTGCGATCTTAAACAGGATGTTACAAGCAGTAATTATACTGAAGGTGCTGCAGTTGCATTAGAATTACAGGTAACAAAATGTTCTCATAAATTTATTTAATAAAATTCTATAGATGTTTTATGATTAAATTTAGGAATATGAAAGAGAACGTGATCAGTGCCCAATGTATTTTGATGATGGAAGTAATCCATGGATTATAACTGAGAATTATATAAAAATATTTCATTATGGTAATGGAAGTATAAGGACTTCAGTTTCATATTTATTTTTATTTTTTATAATCAGCATATTTTACATATCTTTAATAGAAACATAATATAACATATTTTATTAGGATAATAAGTTTCATTTACAGATATTATTGATAATATTATAATTAATTAGATTTATAGTTTTAATTAATAATTTTTTATATTCCGTCCATTTTTTTATGTACAAATAGTTTGTTAAATTTGAGTAACTGTAATAATATAATATAATATAAATATACTATAAATAATTATATATATATATTTATATATATAATTATTTAAATGCACTTATTTATTGTAATTATCTATTATAAAAAGATGTTTTTTTATAATATTGTAATATAATGTTTATTATTAATATTAAGTGCATTTAAAAACGTGCCTTATATTTAAAAGTATTAATGAAAAGAATAGTAATAAGTTTTAGAATTTTTATCCATATTTTATTATTTTTTATAATGATCTGAAATTGTTTATAAATATTTACAATAAAGCATAAATTTATATAAGATTAAAAAGTTATTTTTCTTTATTATTTATTATATTATTTATACTTACATTTTATACTTTATATATGTATATGAATAAAGTAAAAACAAAAAATTATATAAAAAATTTATTTTGTCCAGCTGACTTTTGGTATATCAAAATGTTCTGTTAAACTGTCTAAATGCCTGTTAAATTCTTCTACCCGTTGTTTATGTGTCATTGAAGCTTTTTGTTTTATTCGCTCAGTTTGCTGCAAATATTATTATGCAGTTAAATGAAAGTATTTTAAAATATAAAATATTTATTTAAATAATTGCTTACCATTTTTTCTTGCATTTTTTGAAATGCTATTTCAGCTTTTGTTCGTTTAATTTCTACTATTTTGGGTTTCTCTTCTTCTATAATTTTCGTCACTTCTACCAATTTTTTTTTTTTACCTTCTTTATTCTTTTTTCTATTTTCAAATAGATAATAATAATATTAAAAAATTTGAAAATTTTTAAATATTAATATATAACTTTAAATTATTCGATAGCCAATATTAATAATGAATTTAACCTATAAATAAAATTTAGCACATAAATACATACTTTTTACTCACGCTTTGATCATTTTTGAGTTTTAACAGTCCTTTTGCTACATGTGCATAAGGATCATCATCGGTTGTTGATGGCATATTAATTTTTTAAATAAATATTTATTATTTAATATCACTACCAAACACTAATTTTCACGTTATACACGAAACTAATCAATTTTCTGGAGACAAATCGATTCTCGACAATATAATCGATTATATCATGACGTCATGCGTATGAACCAATAACATCTTTGAATTGAACAACTGAACATAATTCAAAATTTCGTTATCTATTGTTTTAAAAACATACAATATTTTATTTTTTTTATTTCATATTAATGATAATAAAAATTTTTTTAAAGGCAAGCTTCCATTTAAAAAATGGATTACATTGTTTTATTCTTTTATATATATATGTATATATATATATATATATCTACATATATATAGATGTGTGTATATATACATAACACAACTGTCATATTTTAAGGATCATAATAAATTGGTATAATATTGTTAATAATTCTCCATTAATTATACAAGTTTACTTAGCATCATATTCGTGTACATATAGCAATCAATTGTTCATAATCTCTATGCCGTGATGTATTAATCTTAATTAAATAGTTTCAAAAATGTGTGTGTACTATATGATAATTAATATTATTTTGCGCTTGTATTCATACTAACTACCATTGTATCTAGATTAAATGCTATTTTTTCTTGATGAATTTAAGTTAGAATAACAGCACTGTTACTTAAATTGATTATCTGAAAACACAATATAAAAAATTGTTACTTATTTCTAAGGTGCTTGCAGGATGTACATGTCTTGTTATCATTTGCATGAGCATATTTGGTTTAAGCAAAATTTCTTTGTTTTTTTTCATTGAACTTTCTATAAATTTATATATGATTGAACAGATAACAGCTAAAGCTTAGATTTAAAAAAATTGTCTACAATAATCAATCATTCAATCCAGAATAAAATCATTACTGAACACTCCCTTGCACATTTGATCCCCATTCTATCAATATCTTGGGCTTTTCGATAAGGATGTGTAAGAACATAAAATTAGTTACACGTATTAACGAACACCACTTCTAGAATGTGCTATAAGCCACTGCAATGTTATATCAATATTGTCTTTTTCTTTGCATGAAATACTATAGCAACAGATTTCACGATCTTGAATAGCTGATAAATTCCTAAAAAAATATAAACATATTTATTATATATTTATTATTTGCTTATTATTATTATTTCTTTTTATAACAAACATACATTCTTTCTATAAGTCCATTTTCATCTAAAGCATGTGGTAAGTCCCTTTTATTACCTAGGACCAATACTGGTATACCAGATAATTGAGGTTTATCTAATAAATTATGTAGTTCATTGCGGCTTGCTTCAATTTTTTCAGAATCAGCTGCATCTACCATATATACTATTGCATTTACTCCTCTGCAATATCTCTCCCACATAGACCTAAACCTTGGTTGACCTCCAATATCCCAAACCTTTATAGTTACATTGCCTTTTGTTATTTTACGCATATTAAAACCAACTGTTGGAATCATATCTTCACTGAATTGTCCTGACTGAAAAAAAATTATTATTTAACAAGAAATATAAATATTTATTTAATCATAAAAATTAAAATAAAATAATGATAAAATATAACATAGACAATAAAGTTGTTGAAAACAATAAATCTATCTCTCATAAAAAAAGATATTTAATTTTTTTATTCTGTTTATAATTTTAATCTAATTATAATTTAAAAAGAAAAATATAATGTTATTTTTTAAAAAATTATTAAAAAATTTCATTATTAAATTTCTATATTAGGGCGGATACAAGGTTTACATCAATGACAAAGTTATCTTAAATGAAATATGGAATCTAACCAAACGATGCACGATTTTTTTATTACAGTGAATTATAACAATTTATTGATTAAGACATTTTACATTCACGTATATTTTACTTTGTTAGATAAAAAATAAGAATAGTAATCGTTAAATCACAGTAACAGAAGTAAGCTTTCGTACCGCTATAACATTCACGAAAGTGGTTTTTCCACTATATTGCAAGCCAACAAGGGTGAGTTCCATTTCTTCTTTCCAAAAGAGGGATTTAAACCAATCCAAAATTCGATTAATAAGAGCCAACATTTTTTATTCGATCGGAGGAAATCCAGCTCCACCGGTAGAAAGTGCACTTAAAGTACGCCGCTCACTGACTTTGACATGTAGTCATTTGCACTCGAATACGACGTCAGTCCGTCAGCTCTAAAGGTATGTACCGCGCTAGTCAGTGACTGGCGCTGACTAATTTATATGAGTCATAAGATACTATACACGAATTTATCTTATGAGAAAGTAATATCTTACATATTAAACAAGTTTATTGTGCGTGATAGCAGATGATAGTCCAGTGATCTTGACAGTTCAGGCTTTGACATGCAGCAGAAGATGTTACAGCGATTCTCAACTTGATGTTATTCACTTTCGGTTAATTAATAATTTAAATCAGATGATTAGAATATTAGTGACTATTTTTTTGTTTTTAAATAAATATTAGTAGATATATATATATATATATATATATATATATATATATATAAATGTATATAATGAATAAGTATATACTATAAATAGTGGAATATATAGTTATTTGTAATTATATAAATTATCAATTTTTTAAAAATAGAATTAATATAAAATATGCAATATAAGTAAATTTAAATTCATGAAATATTTTTTATATAATTAAAATATTAATTATATAAGAATATATAAATTTATTTATTTGATTCGATGAGATTTTTTATAATTTATATTCTTAATAAAAAAAAAGATTTATTTTATTGTGCGTATGAACTCATAGAAAATAACAAAATATCATCATATTAGAACAATAATGACCGTTATTGTAAATATACGAAATAATTGCGACAGAGTTAATTTGCGACAATTTCTATGTAATCGTTGGTTTTTAATTTTCAGTTCGGTTTATTAAAAACAAAATATTATTTGCTTATTGGTATTCTCTTAAAGATAATTTTTAATTTTTTTTCAGTAATTATCAGATAATGCAATATAAGTTATGTTTTTATTTCTTATACTATTGTTTCTAAATAGACAGTATAACAATTTGAATATTGATTGAAAATTATTGTCTAAACAATAGAAATTAATATTAATTATGAATGTATCCTATATCTGTACTATTATGCAAATGTTAAAAAGAAAAAATATTTTTTTTTTATGCGATAGTTTATAATACAATATATAATACATATATTTGAATCAATTTATGTTTCACAAATTTTAATTTTGTTAATATTATATTTATAATAATTGATATCAATTCTTTTATTTAATTCTTTTATTTAATTATATAAAATCGTTGATTTATGAAATTTTATTAATTATTTAATGATTACGCAGAGATTATTGTAATCTGTATTATTTATGCATGAGAAATAAGAATACAACAGAATTAAATCTTTGTTGTATATATATATATATATAATACAGTTGTTATATATATAATTTTAATTATATATAATTCGAAAGGTAGATTCGAGTTCTAAAGATGCTATATATATAATTTGTATTTTATATTTAATATTATTTATTTATTTGGATTTCTATATATATTATATTTCATTATCAAATTTAATTAATCTATAATTGATTTAATTCAGAATATTTAATTCAATAATTGAAATTATGAATAAATAATAAACAGTTTTCTTTATTTTTCACAAAAAAGATTAATTGCATGAGCACATGTTAAATTTAAATTGATAAATTTTCTTTTTTTCAAATTATAATATGGTTGATAAATGAAAAAGTACTCGTATTGTTCTCGAGTTCTTTAATCAAAAAATATTGATATGAGATTGCATAATTTTTCGTTGAATTAACGAAACATTTGTAATAAAGTTTTAAATTATTCTTAACTCAAAAGGAATTATAATTTATATTTTTTGTATTGTTTGTTTAAAAAAGATGAACAATTTTCAAAAGTGAACAATTTTTCTTCAAAAAAAGAACTTGAGAATAATGATTATTGCTTAAATTTTCTAAAAATGTTATGTACATAGCCGCGATTACAAAACAATCATTAATCTCGAAGATTATTTTCATTCCTTTTTTTAACATTTTATTCGTAATATCTAGATGTAGATTCGTATATAAATTATTATTATGCGCACGTTGATTCACGTTACCTGCCATTACATTTCTTCTCTTTCGAATTCTTCTTTGCTTATTCGATTTTTCTTCGCGTGGCACAATACGTGATTATTTCAATTTTCTTCTTTTTCTTATGACAGTACAAAACTATCCTATCTATGTACAAGGTGTACGAAACGTGCAAAGCGAACGAAACACAAAGTGAACATTTTGTGCGAACCAATCGTATCATTATACTATCCAATTATCTCTGTGGTACAAAGTTCGGTAATCATATCTTAATTACTCTGTAATTTTATAGGTAAATATACAAATAATTTCTTAAATAAAGTTTGAGGTTTTCTCTTTCAGAAAATGTGAGCAAGTATCGACGAAAATGTTACATTGTGCAAATAATGCGAGGCATGCAACAAATTTTATATTCAGAAAACATTTGATTTCGTTGATCATTACGAATGATCTTTGTCACAGATCTCTCGGATTACAAGCATTCGTTTAGAAAAATAGATGTGCTAGAATAAATTTATGTGGAATTAGGAAACTTGATCTTTATACTAGAAAATATAAATACTCAATAGATTTTCTTAGTTCTAACAATAATTTCAACAACGATGATTTTGGAAAAATTTGATTAACAATTTAACCCTATATAATATTATTTCATGTACAAAAAAAATGATAAAAAATCTCTTGATTAATTCGGCTTGTTTGATGACGCGTTCTGAAGTTGAAACCTTAATGTCTAGATTACAAATGATTACGAAATATCTTGATAATCACAGCTTTAATATTAATGTGATCATGTTACAATATAAAATGCGATTTCTTGCTTTTGATGAATTTTTGCTGACAGATCATTATCAGAACATTCTAGATATTAAGGCACATCAGTTTGCTCACAAGGCACGAATGACATTACTCTCTTATTCTTTCAAGAATTGAACGTTAGGTAATTAATAATATGAGTTTCCTTAGCTTTGCGCGACTTCGCGATGCCTATAATAATATAGTCGGCATAAAAGCCAATCAGTGAAAAATCTTAAATATAATAATATCGATTATGCATCCTCAATTAAATCATTATAATTATTTTCTTCGTTGATTAGTTTAATTTTTATAGCTTAAATGTTTCGTATAATTTCTTAATTTACTCGCATATATTATTCCTTTTATCTTGCTTTTTTTTTTTTTTTTTTTTTNTTTTTTTTTTTTTTTTTTTTTTTTTTTTTTTTACTTTCTTTTCTTTTTTTACTTCTATTTCAACTGAATGGCTTTTGAGTCGAACATATCAAATAGGTGATGCATTTTATGTACAATGAATATGTTACACTGTGTGTACTGCTACCGCGCAGATAAAATGTCTCTCAAAATCGAATGTGTACGCCAACGTCTTATATTGTAGTAAAAATAATAATTTTTAAGCAATAATTTATGATAGATACTCTTTATATGCGAAAATAAAAGATTCGCAAAATTTCGAATATTTAAAATATATTTAAAATCATAAGCATGATGTATGATGTATGATCAAAAAACTCAAATCAAAAATGTTTATAAAAATACACGTTGCATTAATTATCATTATATCATATAATGTTCTTGCAATTTTTAATATTTATAAAATTTCATTATATGTAGGATGAATCATTAACATTAAAATTTAAAATTTCTCCTATACTTTTAATATGAAAAAATTTTCCTTTTTAACTTAATTAAATAACCCTGAATAAAAGATTTTTTTTATTGCAAAGTTTATTTTTTCACAATTGGCACATTCTTTTTTTTTTTTTATTATTTTTATATCATTCAAATTAAAATCGGAGAAATTTTATATTCTAATATTAGATGATTTATTGTATATGGGTATGAATTTAAACCCAGTTTCCGCAGCATTTATATAACCATGAAACTTGGCATGAAAGTGCGTAGATTGTGTTTCATAGATCGGCCCAATTAAGGTCACGAGTTCTGGAATAAGTAATAAAGTATGAATTTTCTAATACTCGCGGGATCCTGGTAAAATGCAAAAGAGATCTTCCCGAATTATATAATAAAATACGGTCGCTGGCATTGTTACATAATTTAATCCAAGACTCACCGTTAACTCTCTTATATAATTCCTTGTTTTTATATAATCTTAGAACCGCGCGTAAACCGATGACAGTAAAAACATTTTGCGGATTGCTATCGTCCTGGTGTGTATATATATATATATATATATATATATATATATATATATTTGAACATTATGTAAATAGAAAAATGATTTTTAACAATGTTTATAATCTAAAATATGAGATTACAATAAAATCAGGTAATTTCATCCGAAAAATGTTCTCATTAATAAAGTGAGAACATTGTTCGTTATTTATAGATATCGAAGATGCATTTTTGATATTTTGACTATTGAATTTCATTATGGTCAATAAAAAAACAATTATCATCCTTCGATTATCATTCTATATCGTAATATCGCTATAAATTATCACAACGATGTACATTATGAACACTTTATGTAATTTCTCCTATGTTTTTCTTCTCTTATCAAAACTTTGCAAGTCTATACTCGAATTACAATTAGACGGCGGCTTTCTTTTCTCGCATTCGAAGAGAGAGGCAGAGGATGATTCGAAAACGAATTATCTCTTGTCGGGCATGGTAAATGTACATACAGCGAACCGAAAAAAGAATCACGAATACCTGAATCACGAGGCCAGGGATCCGTGACATTGGAGTCGTAACACATCCGGGACTACCTTTGTACATTGATTCATATCACTCTTTTCCTCTTACTTTCTATCTCCTTTCACGAATACACGCAAACGCGATCGCAGAGTAATTTTGTACTCAATGTTTTCTCCACTCGAACCCGAAGGATCATTAGAATGGAAGGGCGAAGGAACGAAGCCCGGATGCGACTCGAGGAATCGATGAGAAAAGACGAGATGAATTTGATGATGGCTACAACGTAGCATGATCGGGTCACTCGGTCGTTGTATACGATTTCCTAAGATTGAGCTCCGAGGCGGCTAGGCTGTCGCCTTTCACGTAATAATCGGCCGCGTCTCTTCTTCCGGACGAATTGCCCATTGCTCCATTCGTCATGCCGTTCGTTTGATGATTTTGCTGATGATCTTTTTTCATGCCATTCGTGATTGTTTGCTTCCTCTTCTTTTGTTGGTAGCTTTGTTGGTAGAATTCGTTGAACAGGAAGAAGAACATAGTTGCGTGTAAACCGATCCACCAGACGAATGCCTTAGGATAATTGCAGTCGATGAAGAGTAATTGGAACGCGTGGATCATTACCGCGACAAATTGGATCATTTGGAAGACGGTCAAATATTTTTTCCACCAAAGGTATGGTTGTAATTTTGGACCCATCGCGGCCAACAGGTAATATGTATACATCACTATATGAACGAATGTGTTCAAGAGCCCGAAGAAAGTAGAATGACCGCCTAGAAAAAAAAAAAATCAAATGACAAAATTTTAAATGTTTATATATATATATGTGATATAATAAAGAAAGATTAAATTTTGTTTTGACGTTCTTTTCCAAATTATTTTTTTCTAAATTGTACTTTGTGATAATATTTTAATGTTTCAAAAGTTATACATAAGTATTTGATATTTTTAAACCATTATATTTATACATTCTTATTTTTACATTCAATCAACTTTAAATTATACAATTTATTTGAATATTTAATCTAATCTGAGCTTTTTGAAACATTTATTATATCTTTTTATTTGATCAATGAAAATGAAATAGATAACTTTTGAACTTCAATTAACATTTTTAATTTTAAATGATTATACATTATTTTGTGTCTATTTATTGAATTTACTATTAGAAAATACAAAAAAAAGTTTAGAAAATATTGGTACTTCAAAATAAAATTTAATTCTATAAAGAAATTTCGCTTACCTGGTGTGAATTTAACGCCAAACCATACTGACATTGGCATGCAACCATGGTGAATAACGTGCAATATTGACACGTGATCGTTCTTCTTCCTTAATACAAAGAAGATCTACAAAGATTATGATTAGTGGATAAATTTATAATGAACGAATAAATTTTTATGAGATGAAATATTCAATTCCAATCTATAATTTTTACATACCGTATCCATGAATTCCGTAAATTTGGAGAAATAATACCACCAACAAGCGTGCACCATCTGCGCTTTGAAAAATATCGATTAGATAATCACTTTAACGTTGCTCTTGACACGAATATGGTGAAAAATACAAATCCTTGGAGATTATGGCGTTATCTTTTGTATTCCATTTTTTAATAAAAAATATTTTTCATGATGAAAAATATGATATAATTATGAAAAAAAAATTATAAAATTTTCCAAAGATTTGCCTTTGATAGATTTACGTCGATGAACAGTCGTAACTTTGTATTGTGCATCTGTGTAATCATGATAATCAATGTAATTGTCGTCGTGTAAGTGGTGTCTGTTTTTTTAAATCTTTGTTTTCTACTTGTTAAATGGCATTAATTGCATGAAGCATTTGTTTCGAAGTATGTTAGTTTAAATTAACTACAATATTTTCAAATACTACAGGAAATTTAGTGGCATATAGGCATATGGCGTAATGTTAAAAATTAAATAGAAATAGAGTAATACTAACAGAAGAAACTACTAATAGAAAAGAAAATATAAAAATTTTCAATCATCCCAGAAATTTGTTAGAAAAAATTCTCAAAAAGACAATGTTAAAAAATACATATGATTATATTCGAAATATATATAACATTTGAATCATTAAATTTATGAATTAAACAAATTTTTAAATTCAGAATTTTGAAATATTTTTATATCTTCAAATTTTAATAATTTTTTTATAAAGTATAGTTGAAATCTGATTTTTCGATCGGGAAACTATTTCTTTAATATAAATATTATTTGAAAAAAAAATTTATTCATAGAATTTTCTTTTAAGAAATAAAAATATTTATTATTATTTATCTACTTCAGAAATTTTTTTGATTAAAATTTTTTTAATATCCCTTTCAAGATTTCAAATATTGTATCTTCAATTTTTTTCAAATTTATATTACCGAATTCCTTCCAAAATTTTGTTATTGTTATATTTTTTAATATTATAAAATTGCAAAAATAGAAAAAATTAAAAATATAAATATTTTTATTTCTTAAAGGAATATAAAATTCTGCATGAAAATAAAGTTTTTTTTTCTTGAAATAATATTTACTCTACTTATGTAAAGAAATAGTACTAGTTTTAAATATAAATTTTAAAAATAATTTCTATAAATATTACTTTTAAATAAATATTTGATTGAAATGTAAGAAAATAATATTTCGAATAAATAATTTTTACCTTAACATTTTACAATAAGATATAACATATCGAAATCATATATCATATATATATAAAAATATATGAAAAGCTTAATCATAAACTAAAAATGAAATTTCTGTTTTGAAATTTATTTTGAATTTTAATTACTTTTATTCAATAATTTTTATTCGATAACTTAACTATATTATTGATATATCAATATTTATCTCTAGTCTAGGGGCCGCACCTTTTGTATCCCCACTAAGAACGATCCTAAAAATAATATTTTCAAGTAATATTTGATTCAAGTATTCAACGAAATAATATTTTCAAATATTTGTATTTGCTTGTGGAAATATTTTTTTTTTTTTTTTAATGTCTCAATTTAAATTTTTCCCTAGTCCTGTAATAATAAATAATTCATAGTTTAATCGTGTGCAGTTAATAAAATGCAGAGATTGTATTTAGTGTAATTTTTGCGTGTTAATGGGGAATATCACCCACCCTTAGTACTTGGGGTCGATCACTGTAGTCTACGGGTTGGCACCTTAGAGAATAGTCGCCAGTCAGCCATCCGGACATTCCTATCTGCAACCACAACCGCCCAGAGGCCATTCTCCGATCAATGAAAAGAATAAATAAACGAAAGAGAAAGGCGCAGAAAAGAAAGGGGGCGTGCGCATGTGCATAATTCTCATAAGAAAAACTAATCGTGCTATATGTTGTGATAAAATAATTGGACGATTGTGTGCGTTAAGACAAAAGATTAAAATATTCGACACTCCGTGAAGTTATCCATTAATGGATCCATGTGTTGCAACTCCAATAATTCTTACCTATTTTTATCGTTTTCTTTTTTTTTTTTTTTTTTTTTTTTTTGAATCTTTCCCCCAAAAGATTTTCTCCTTCGAATAAAAGTGATTAGTTCACCTGGATATCGAGTTTGTGTAAATCGTTTACCGATTGAACTCTCGATATCGATGGATTTGATGGAAAAAAAAATTTGAAAATAGTGATATCTTTAATGTGCATGCAAACATGCTAAATTATACATATATTTCATTAGCACAAATGGAACGGTGTGATTATGTATGATGAAGGAAAGAAATACATGTACCAAAATAAATATATTTATGGGATATTTTTGGAAGATCGACTCTAGACGTAATAAAAATAATACACAAAAATAATTTATTAATTATGTTATAAACAGTTTTTAAATTTATATTAACAAGATAGAGACAATACGATGAAGATAAAGTTGTCTCTATCTTATCTCATTTTATCCATCTTCGATTATTTATAAGTTAAAAAAAATAAATAATCAAAATTTTTGTATATTAACTTTTATATTCGTTTCGATCTCTAGAATCGATTTTCAAAGATATTCCAGAAATATATCAATACCTTATATAGAGATATGAAAATAAAGATAAAAAAAAGCAACAAGCGGAATAGTATAATTTACTCTTCCTTCAAAGGCGGTTTCCTCCCTTGGTTGGCTGCCTACAAAGCATAAGATAATTTGCATCATAGCACAAATTCTTCAATTTCTACAATCCATGACCCTTAAAAATGTATTTCTAATCGTCGAAATATGCGTATACGTTATTACATTAGTTTTAATACATAATCAAACAAATCACAATTGTTGCAAATCAATCAATTATATATAATATAAATTAGAATCATAATGGTATAAGTTGCCAAATTATTTTGAGAATTCAAGAAAGAAATTAATATTAGGAAAAATAAATATTATATGATGTAATAAAAATTAAAATTAGTCAAAAAATATATCATAATATTAAAGATACAAAAATATATATATAAAATTAAAACATCCACGATATTTTATTTAAATTTTTATTTAAATTTAGAAAAATATTTGCATCTAATATGCACATCTAATATAGAAAATTAAAAGCAAGTCACAATTTTTTATACTTAGAAAATTAAAAAATAATCATATAATTTTATTTTTTTGTTTTATATTTATACGTATACGCATATAAAAATCGTTAAAGAATAAAATTTAGCATTTGTTGAGGTTCGTCTCGTTGAAATGGCGGTCGATGATCCATCTGCTGAGGAAACTATAAATACCAAAACTTACCCTTATCGCGATTGGATTGTCGCTATAGTCCACAGGTTGGCAATGGAAACTATAATGGCCCCACCATCCGCCCATCAGACTCTGTTTTTTTTTCGGTTACACAATTAATGTTTTATCTTGCACCTTTTTTTTCTGCGTTAATAGCAAGTTAAACCGATCGAGTTCGAAATATATATATATACGAAATAAATATTTCTATGAAATATAATTTTTCCAAAGGTATCTTCCAAGCAAAATTAATTGAGCAGTAAGAGGAGGGCATAACTATTTTTAGATAATTTGTTATGTTTTGAGTTATGTGTAATTTTGCATCGTATTGTGCAAGTTAGGTGCAAAGGATGAAAGCAAGCGATTTATTATAAATTTTTGGATCATATTGTTTAATAAGAATATAGATTCGCATCTGTCCCCCTCTTAATTTAATGAAACAATAATAAATCCATAAATTGTTTATTATTATCAAAAAATAATCATTTCTTTAATATTATAATAGAAATTAGAAATTTCAAATTCAAAATTGAAGTAAAAACTCATTTTGCATATAATAAATATCTTTTGCAGAAGATGTATATTGGAAAAAAAAAATATAAAAATTTAGACGTGATCATTTTTAAATTGATCAACTTCACATTTTAAGAAATTTTAAATTTTGATATAATGTATTATGATTAATATTTAAATATTTAGAAAACAAATATAGTAGTGTCTGCATATATGATCATAAATTTGTCTGGTTATATAGCTAAAAATATTTTCATCAATTCCTAAAATCATAGAATTCGAGACAGACCTCAATATTATTTATAATTTTCATCGAAATGATTTAACTAATGATTATTAAACTTTTTAAATCATCAGAATAAAGAAAATATAATTTTTTAATATTTCTCATTATATTAATTCAAAATAGCCTTAATCGAATTATTAAGATTTGCTATTAAAATAGTATCAATATTAAAATAATACCAAACATAATTTTGTATTTCTATTAACTTTTAAATTATTAATTTTAATTATTAAAAAGTAATCTGACTTTTACACAATTATCATACTTACCTCATATGTTCCATTATTTCGCATTATTTATTTCTCACTTTTAGCCTTGATGCAGCATGGTAGAACTGAAGTCAAATAACGCCAATTCTGGCAAACTTCATAACTTCTTTATAATATGGTTAAGTTTGGCTATATAATCAGACACTATTGTAATTAATTTCGATGGTGCTGATCAATTGATTTTTAAATTCTTGGTTCACTTATAAATTGCATTGTGCCATTGATCACGCGTGATTTCGAACTCGGTGGTCAAACCCGGACATTCGATGTTCTTGCAGAAATCATTCATGATACAAACACGAACCTTTATTTCATGGTTCCTCATCTAACATTCCGATGTACGAGCAAAATTTTATTCGTACGTGCTTATATACAAAGTGGCATTTCAAAGCATGCAACACATTTTAATATCGAAAAAAAAATTTTTCGTAAGACGTAAGTAATATTCATAATATAACAGATATATGGAAAAAAGTGTAAAAATGGAAGAAAGAAAAGAAAGCAAGGAGGGAGGGAGAAAGATCGAAGCAGGAACCTTACCTCGTAGAAAAGCCACGCTGAGAACACCATTTGGAATAGATTATAAGCTATTAGGACATTTTTTAATTGAAATGGTTTCCTATTCTCCATCAGCTTTGGCCCTAAAACTTTTACACCATATACGTAGCTCAAGCAGATAAACAGAGTAGGAAATGGTGAACTCATCATAAACCAATTCGTTGTTCTCTGATCTGAAAAAGATATTGTAGATATAGATTCCATTAGAATTAGATTTAATTAACAAAAATTGAATATAGAAAAAGATACAGTAACTATAAAATTTGTACATAATCTTATTTTTCACAAAATTTTAATGAAATTTGATTTTTTCATTACATTTTATATTTCATCATATCAAATTTTCATAATTACAAATTCTAATAATATGAATAATATGAATTTGCTTAGATTTAATTGATTAATATATATAATATCATAATAAATGTAATGTTGTGTGTGTGTTTTTTGTACTTATTTACTATTATCATCCTAAAAGAAATCTAGATGATATACCACTGTTGATAACACAAATTATATAATAATTTTTTTTAGATATTAGTTTATTTTTTTTAATTTAATATTATTGATTTAATATTCTTTATTTTATTTCAACTCTCAAGAAATTTACATAAAATTTATGATTATAGATAAAGGATTATAGAAAAATATTCATTCTGTTTTGGTTTTTCTTTAAAAAAAGGGATATTATTAAGTATTTAATTTTCTTAGGATGAATTGATTATAATTATGAAAGTTATGCTTTGTTATTATTCTTCATCAAGTATTCAAGATTATTTAATATAATTTTAAAAGTGAAATAAAAGACTAAAGAAAAAAATAATAATCAATGTTGAAATGGTAAAAGTATAACAACCTCGACCTTTAGATTTAGGTTTTTTTCGATACCCTTCCTCATCCTTCAAAGTTTAGTCAATTAACGTGCTATCGTATTAAAAACCAGTTATAAAATCTCTTCTATTAATTTACTCTCCTGTCGGTTTTAATGATCAATCGACCTTGATGCGATTTCATCGTATTTTTTCAGATTCTTGTCGTGAAATGGGAAAAAAGTGAAATCAAAAACTAAGATGAAAGTAAATACCACGAAAGTCGATAATCTTGATGGCAAAATTTCATTAAATATTTTTCAAACTGCAACTAAGTTCGATGAATTCAAGATTGCGATTTCGTATCTGCTCATTTCTGCATTCGAAATATTTTCAATAAAATTTACGATTAAAAAAAAAAAAAATAATAGTAATGTTTAATCTTATGTTTTTTTTTGCTAGTAATTTTTTGTATAGACAATTAGATTCATATCTCTAACTTTTTTTTAATATTTTAGATTCTCAAAAAATCTGAAAGAATTCTGAGATTTATTTAGATTTATAAAGTTTTGGTTGAATTAAAAGATTTATTAACAGAAAAAATAATTTCTTTGAAAATATTCAGAAATGAAGAAAGATTAAAAAAAAAAAAGAGTTAACCTTGATGATGATATGGAACTATTAAATATGGAAACTTTGCAAATTGAAATTAAATTCGAATGAAGAATATGAGTTCGTATCTGCGCGTTTAATATTAGAGATGGTTTAAAAATTTTTCTCGAAATCGGCGGCTGCTTCCACTGGCCACGTGAAATGAATAATTCATCTTCGATGTAGTCTACTGCTGCATCACGACGAATGACGTTTGCTTAACCATAATGAAATTCTAGGTAATTTTATCCTTCCTTTCTGCTCATGTATTCGTCGAAATCTCCGATCTCATTTGTATCAACAATAAAATATTCTTGTTCATTTTTTTACAATGAAATCAAGTAAGAAATATCTAGACATAAAATATTAAGATAATTTATTCTTAAATATTATTATTTAAAATAAAATATCATAACAAAATATCATAAAAAAATAGAAATTCAAAAATAAAATTTTTGAACAATTATACGGATATGAATTCACTTTAATAATGTCCAATCCAGTTTCATGTACATAACCTAATATACGTGGGAGGTTTCTCAATTGCCTTTGGAAATGTTACGTGAGAAGAAAGTAAGTAAATAAGTGCGAATGTTTGGAATTCCATAATTCCTTATCCTTCGTATTAAGTTTCTATAAAATTGCGTATATGAAACAAATTTTTATATTAATTTCTAACGATTATTATAGAAATATAAATTCCAAATTCGATAAAATGATGATGAATAAATAACAATTAAGAACTTTCGATCTAAATACGAAACTATGCCATCTATGGAACAGAGATCGAAGTTCAAAAAAGCGTAAGTCGGAAATGATGAAAGTTAACGATATTATAAAAGATATTGACATTTTAAATTAAATGAGAAACGAATTTTTTTTAAAAATCATATGAAATTTGATTATTTCACAATGAAACTATTTCTATTTAGCAATAATTTTGTTGCTATTAATATAAATTTATAGGAATAGTTTGTATTTTCTTTTTATATTTTCTTTTATAAGATAATCTATTCGATTCAAAGATAATTTTACGCAAGGTCAATGCTTGCGTAATTTCTGTGAAATTTCTATTGTTAAGATGAAAATTGATAAATATAATTTTTTTTTCTATTTTTAGAAAACGAGAAAATTTTTCTTTTTGAAAAATTTATTATTATTTTATTAATTTGAATACTTTAAAAGATATTTTTATTTTAAATTAAAAAAAAAAAGAAATTAAGCTGAAACGATTTTTTAATCTTTATTCCTCTTTCCATATTGTTTGTGTATACTATATGATTACGTCAAAGAACAATGTGCAGATTTTATTCGTTTACTCTAAGTTTCATTTACTTTTATGATTTACATCGTATGAGAATAGTGAACATTTGTAATTTGTACATTTAATTACATATTATTTGTATAGTTTTTGCATTGCAGATGTATCTTTTTCTGTTGTAGACAAATATTAGTATATGATATTAAAATGCCATTATTATGGTAAATTTCAATTATATAATAATTATAATTATATATTATTAATTTTTAATTATACATATATTATTCATGTAATTTCTGCATTAATGATGTATCTTTTCTATTGTAAATAAACCTTAATAAATAATATTAAAATTCAATTTTTAATTTTAATTATATTATTCATTAATTTAATTACATATTACTAATCTTTATTTATATATTTTTTGTACAATTTTTGTATTTAGAAATATATACTTTATATATAAATACTATATATAAATGTATATAAGTATAAATATTGATAAATGATTAAAATGCAATTTTTATATTTATATATTTAATTCTTTCTTTACATTATTTCTTGAAATTCTACTTTCGTTTATTTTTGTGGCAACCTAATTAATGTTAAATGTATATTGACATTTTATTTATTATTAACATTTTATTATTGTTATGTCATTATATCCAAAACATTATTGTGAAATGTTTAATTTAAATAATGTTTTTATATACGTTTTTTATACGTTTAATATATATGCCCGATGAAAGAAAAAAAATAAGATTTTTAAGTTTCGAACCATGAATAATATAATATAATCATGAATATATAATATTAAATAAAACTCAGAGGTAAAATTCTTTTTTGTTATTCATGATCTAGCAAAAATTATTACAAAAATTATAGCAATGTACAGATTATTAAAATCTGAATATAGTCTGAATATCAGTAAGTTTTTTTGGATTATTATTATATATGTGTCACAAATCATATAAAATTATTATTCTTATTAATTTCTTAAATTTTTATTCGATCTACAGTATTCGAATTTACAGTAAGATTTAATTTTTGTTTTCAAAAAATGAAGAAATTTGGAATATAAATTTAAAATTATTATTTTTATTTTTAATAGAATATATTATTTTTATTTTAAATAAAAATCAAAGAATAACAACAAGTAATTTTAAAAATATATTTTTAAGAAAAAAACAAAATTAAAACTTCGAAACTTTTAACACTATTTCAAAAATTATTTTTTATACGCGAAATCTGAAAGATATGAAAGTTAATGAATTTTCTTCATTATTAGAAAATCATTTAATTTTAATTTTTTATAATTTACAAGCAATAAAAAAATCAAGTTGTTGCCAGTCTTGGCAGTTTGTAATTAGATCAAGGTGAAAAGTGAAACGAAAGCGGAAAGGCGAGAATTGAATAGAAAGGGAGAGGGCTGAATCTTTCCTGTTCCTGTTTAATAAAATTGTTCCCAGTCACTGGTCGGTGATCGTCCCTCGGACAATCTTCTCAATGTTTTAAGTTCGTTCATCAGGCTTGAAAGATGGATGACTATATTTTACATAAAAATAATGATTGAAGGCTTACCTGCATGTTTGTCAAGTATCTCGTGAAATCGATCCACGTATTGCATTACAATCGACATTTTTCTTGCTTTTTGTCGAGAAAACCTTTGCAATATATCTTCCTGAGATCGTAAGAATGTAAAGTTTCAGGACGAAATAAGCGAGTTCCTGAAATGACAAAAAATGAAACGATTATTATTATTATGAAGAGAAGAGGCATAAAAAAAAGTTCATTAAAAAAAATCAGGCTTCAATTATTAAAATAAACTATTATTTATTATTTATTTAAAAAAGTAATATAATAAATTTAAAAAAAATTAATTTTTTTAGAATGAAATATTTTTCAATTTGTATACTTTTGAAAAGAAACTTCAAAAAGTTTAATATTTCTTGCATTATTGTTTCTTCGTTTAGATATGATTAACAATATAAAAAATTCTATTATTCTAATTTTATATTATTCATTCATTATTTTACATTATGATAAAATACATTTCATACATTTCATATGTTATAAATTTTATTTCAGTAACACAAGATTTTAATTTGAAGAAATTTAAAAAAACATATATTTTTATAAAATATAAATAAATTTATTTAACTCAACCTAATTTAATATAATTCTAATATAAATTAAAAACTATCTAATGATCTAGAGTTACATTTTGCAAGATCTAAAATATAAGATAATATAGGATAATTTTTATGTTGCAAATTTAAATTAATTCAAACTTAATTTCGCAACATTTTAAATCAATTGGTTTTAGTCTTTCATCTTAAACTAGAATGATATTATTAGAATTCACTAGAATTCAAATAAATTATTAATCTAGATAATTATATATAAATTCAATTGATAAATAGTTGGTTTCGAACCAAATATAGTCTTTTTGTTTTACGCGTGAACGAGGACGTATTACTTAACATTGATGTAAAGGTTAGGTTACATAAAATGATGTCGATTTATGTCATGATTTTCGGCATCGGCATTGAATTAGAGAAGCGATTTCGCGCGTGCGCGTTCACGACCAAGATTGTTCAAATCCCGATCCGAAATTCACTGCGTATGTTCGATTACGAAAGTAGGGCCACATAATTTTTGTTATGGATTACACGATGCGTTCTCGCGCAATTTACGAGACGACCATGAATTCGGCACGGCCTTGAACTGTTATGTCCACGACTTCGTCGTTTCCAATAAGAATTCACTCGAATTTCACTTGCAATTATAGTCAAAACATCATAATCAAAACATTTGATGGTTCATGGCAATTACAATCGATCTCTGTACTTCGACATCTATGTTAACCAACTATTGGAAAAAAGCAATATCTATTAAAAATTCATTTGTAGTTTGAGTAGTAACTTTTTATTTGTTTTATTTTATTTAAAGACATTATGTTTTATTTAATATCAAAGCAATATATAAAGCAAAGCAAAATATTCATTTTCTTTTATTCCTCAGTGAAAATCTTTATTTAAATAGAATTAAATTTATTTAAACTTTAATTGCCATATGTAAATCGAAATAATTATGTATATTATAATTTGCCAATAATCAAGCATTTGATATGTTTTCTTAAATTTTAATTATTAAAATTGTTTTGGATGCGAAATATGAAATTTATTTACGAATTTTTCGAATTGTTTTTTTACTAAAAATTCATTCTTATAAATTCTATATATTGAATTTTCATTTAACAATTAAACAATTAAAGTTAAACAATTTTATTCGAAAAAATTTATTTTTTATATAAAATTTTACAATTTATTTGTAAATTTTTCAAACATTTAATATCTTTTCAAAAAAAGAGATTTCTGATTAGAATTTTTTCTTTGAAATTTTGGATTAACTAATTTTCAAAAATCAGCATTAAGCGATGAATGATTCAAGCGTTCTTTGAAGTGATTTTCTCGCGAAATGATTCACAAAAAAGAGGACACAGAAAAGAGAGGTAGATATAAGAAGATAATTGTTTGTTTCTGTGGGCGCCCAGAATGATTAATCACGTCCCTGAAATCGAGTGGACAGCGTCCTATCTATATACTCATACTCTCTAAGCTGCGACGGATGATTTGGTAACCCGTTGAATTTCGCTTTCAATACAACTCGGTTGACGAGAGAATTCTCGTCAAGGCCAATCGAGAACGAACTTGAATGGATGTCGTCATTTATCATCGGGCAGTTGGTCACTGATTTGTACACGAATGCGGAATCTTCGAGACTGTCTAACTAACTTACCGTCTCATCTTTTTTGTTTCAAAGTCAAAGGAAAAAAACCAGAAATCAAAATTATTTGCTTTGAAAAGAATCATGTCAAAAAATTGGCAAATATTGGCTAAGGAATTTCACATAATGAATTAGATATTCTCTTTATATATTAGAAGTGAATATGTTCTTGGAAGATGATTAGAATAATGATTGACTTGATAATAGATATGTAATTATCAAATAAATTATATTTAGAGAACAATGATATAAGATGTGTAAAATTAAAATGTAAAGTTGACTTTTTAATGAGTTTTTGTTCAAGGTAAGAATTTAAAGAACTACAAATAATATTATTTAATGACAATACACGGATAATAATTTATTTAATAAATCTAATTTTTCTACAACTTTTGTTGAATGAATTCATTTATAAAACATTTTCTAATTATAATCTTTTAATAAAACAAAAATGTTAAACTTTATATTAAAATATCGTATCTATTGATGATCTGCTTGTAAAATCAGATATCATTAATTTTAATATTACTTTGCAAAAGTTTATTTAAAAAATCACTATTATATTTGTTAAAGAAAGATTTGATGAATATTACATAGATCAGTAGAAAATATATTCGTATAAGCTTGGAATCTAACTTAACCTCGTTTCATCTATATCGACGATGATCACAGAAATGACAGCTAACAAAAGATAGAGTTTAAACATTTAATTAAATACAAAGAATTTAAATATTTAAAGAAATTTATGATGTATATATTGCTTCATATAAAATTGCTCGTTTTACTAGATTCATAAGAAAAATTCTCCTTAGTAGAATCCCGAGCATATTATTTACATTAAAAGCTCACATAAGGAGTAAATAACATACTCTTAGCCTTAATTTTTTATAATCATTGTGTAAAAATTTATTAAAAAGTTAGTATTACATTTCGTTTTTTTTTGTTAGAGATTTAACGTAACCTAACTTAACCTTATTTTATTTTTTTCGATAATAAGTTGTAGAAAACGACAAGTAGCAAAAGATACAAAGCTCAAACAAATTATGATGTATTGGTGTGAAATTATTCGCTTCACTGGTTCCAAAGTGGATTTTTTCTTAATAGAATTAAAATTAAGATCATATAATAATATACAATGAAATATAATATACACTATATAACCTAATTCAACTATAAGAATATCAATTTTAATGGGAAGTAAGGTTAAGTTACGGTGACGATTCCTTGGCTCCGCGATGGATCGCGATCGGTTGTGGCTTGAATCGTCTCTTGCAAAATGAAAAGTCGAAAACGCGTCGAGCAAGCGAAATACCTCGCGAATATATTGCGAAAGCTGTATACATTATAATGGGCCGGGCACAGAAAACGGGCCAGCAACACAACTTCGATGGTTTTGTGAACTCTGCGACTCTCGATGACTCGATAGTATGGCATACAGCCGGAGTCTCTGTTTGTAAGTTACGCAAGGAATTGCTCGCTCGTGCTTGCTGTTCGAAGCTGTGTGTCTCGACACTGGAATCGTCATTAACGATAGGATGAACAAACCACTGACCTCAATATCCATGCCGACTAAATATTTCGTTTCACTGGCAAGAACTACAATAAACATATACTATTGTAAATTAATGCACCGCAATGATTCGATCACGATTTACATATATCTGTAAAATGTTATATCTTATCAATATCTTATCTTTTTATAGCAGTTTCATAGAACAACGATCGATTTTATATCAAAATTATATAATATGTACAATATAGTTTCATAAGAATACTTGGATAATTTTAAAAAGTTTCTGCCAGATTGGAGATATCACAAATATATAAGTTATTATTAATCTCTTGAACATTACAGTTATATATTATTAAAGTTATATATTATATATTATATATTATATATTATTAGTTATATATTATTAAAGGTATATTTCATAGAGATATAAATTTTCTATTACTATTATTATTATATTTTTATATTAAAATGAAAAATATTATTTTATTATACTTTTGTTCTTATTACATTATATATATATATAAATTTTCTTAATTAATTCAATATTATTTTAAATCATTTGTAATGATTTTGGTTGATGACAAATATAAATATATAAATATATATATATTTTATATATATATAACATAAGACATATAACATATATATACAATATAATTTATCATGTTTTTTTGAACTAAGAAATCAAATTTTTTAAATTTATTTTTTTTCTTAATTTTATGACATTTTTTTTATATATTTCTTGAAATTCTTAAAAATATAAAAATTTTTAAATTTAAATATAATAATTATAATAATTAAATAATTAATTTAAATATAAAAATTTTATATTAAAAAAGAGATTGATTTGTATAATTTACATTTATCTAATCATTTGTTAATATTTGTATATTTGTGTGTAATAGAACTTGGAAAATATTCAAATAGATTGCAGAAAGTGATATGTATTTAATATTTTTTAATGGCATTTCTCAAGCATTCAGATTCATTTAAATTATTTTTATTTTTACTGAATTTAAAAGATTTGATATTATATTATACCAATATAAATTGCTATTTATTTAATTTGAAATATTCTTTCAAACTTGTACTCAAACCATCAATTAGCTTGGTTTTATTTCATTTGATCTGAAATAATTTTTGAAATGAGGTTGATATTCTTTTAATTTTTTTTTGATTTGAAGTTTTATATGATGTGAATTTTGATTACTAACAAATGATACTAAAAGTTATTAATTAAAAAAAATGAATTAAAAATAAAATTGATAGTAATAATGAGCAGACAATTCTGGATTATTTGTGGCCTTTGGTAAAATTTTAATTTTAGAAATAATTTCCTTATCAAAATTATACATTAAAAAAATTTATACTATAAAAGAATGTTTGAAAAAAACAAAATAAATTAAAAAATATAATTAATCATTC